AAATCCCCATTCAGAGTCACATTCTTCTTTCTTTCTTTCTTGTTTTTGTGCTCTTTAATTTTTTATGCCCGTTTATTATAATTACTGGTAATTATTTCTAATTTCTAATAGGGTGAAATGTTATCGGCAAAGGCAGTGTTTGTTTATATGGAGTTACTTGCAGAGGGTCTTAAGAATGGAATATATAGAAAATATATATCCAAACTGAATCAGATTAGCATCTAAACTCTATAGTATAGATTACATACTGTAAATGAGGCTTAGACCTCTGTCTTACTCTTTATAATGTGACCTAATTACTTGCCACCTTATGATACCTTTTGAGTTTTCCCAACTTTGGTATCGGTTTCCAAGACTCACTGCTTATTTCCTGGTCTGTGAATGATAAAGTAGATTAAAGGCAATTTAGTATTCAACGGAAAATGACTGTTGAGAAGCCATCGACAGATGCCTGACTGGCTTTTCCCGATGAAAGTCTCAGGTCGGTCAGCGAATGTCTAATCTCTCGACTGACTGTCTAATCTCATTTGATGATGACTCGACTCGACTCCACTTGATTCGATTCCGCACTCACTCTCTATCTCTCTGTATTCAATTCAATGCGATTTGACTTGACTTGAGTTGAGTTGACTTGACGCTACCATTCCTTATGCCCGCGGATTTTCCTGAGGCTTAATCAATCATTGCCCTTACCCGAATCTATTTCACTCAACATGCCTCGATTTCAATTAATTTTCCAGCTTTTCGGGCCAGCTGCAGTGGCCACAAAATTGTTTTGTTTGTGTTTGTTTGTTCTTTTGCTTCAATTTGATTCGAGGGGAAAGCCCAGCCACGAACTTTGACCTGGCCAAAAGTGTGTGTGGGAAACCCAGGCAATTGAAACTTTTCCGGTATCCAACCGGCCGGCCGTCGGAGATTGTCAAGTGTGTTTCGAAAGTTGGGAAGTGACCTGAAAAGTGTGTGTTTGAGGAAATTAGATTCGATTAGATGCGACTCAGATTTCTCTGGGACATGAAAATGAAATCTTTACGGCTGCTCCTTTTCCCAGTTTCCAGTTTCCAGTTCCCAAGCCCCTTAGATGAGCATTTTCGTTGGAGCATATTTTGTGAGGTAAAAAGTTTTTGCCTACCTTTTCTTTTTTGATGGGCGGCGCACAGGTGCACAAATGGCAAACGGAGTGTAGAACAACAAGAAGCGACAACTGAAACAGAAGCAGCAGCTTCAGAATTTACATAAAAAAGTTTTGTCATGCTGCCCGAAGGGGACAAACCGGAAGCTGGAGACTCGAGGGTTGGGAAATCCAAGGCTGAGGTGAAAAACCGGCACATGCACATGCTTGTGTATATTAAAAAAAAAAAAGAAAGGAAAACACTGGAGCAAAGCCTCTCTGCCTCAGTCTTACTTTCGGTTTGGGTTCAACGCTACCGTCTGGGCTTAGATATATATATACATATATATATATTCCATATATGCATGATCATGTCTGGATTAGCCTAATGAAAGCCCAGACTCCGCAACAACAGCTGATGGGAAAGCCGGGAAAGCTGGGCAAGCTGGCAAAATGTTAACAGCATTCGGTGGCAGGAAAATGCTGTCACGAAGCGCTAAGACGCTGACAATGTTGGTTCCACAGAGGCAGGGATTCGTTGGAGATACCCTTCCTATGAGTTACTATCCTAATATTAAATCTAGCTAGACTTTAGAGTATTTTAAAATGATCTTTTATGTTGCTCTGCTTAAATCATTCATAGAGTTTCTTGGAGATTTATCCAGATTCCCTTGAAGATTCATAAAGTTACTGCAAGTGCAGAAAGGACATTCATGCTGCGACTTTCATGGCAGGTCCTTCGACTACATGTGCTTACATGTCTGTAAGCGCATTTTGTTCGCTTGTGTGTGTATGAGGGTGTATTTGCTACGTGTTAGGGCTCTGACATGCTGACGGCAACATGCAACACAACCGCCAGCAGCAGCAACAGCAACAGCAACACGAGACGTGCAGCAGCAACAATGGCTGGAAAAACTGGGGGGGGGGGGGAAACCTTTGCTAGCCATGAAAATCCTTCAGAGTCGCGTCGCAACATCCGCGTGACGACGTCATCGTCATCGTCATCGCCATCGTCCTTGTCTCCAGTTTGCTGTTGTTGCTGCTGCTGCTGGTTGCTGATGTTGCCGCTGGCAGACATTTGCTGCAAAGACTTACGGAAAGTTTACAGCCTCAGACATTTGTTGTGGCTTTTATAAATTGTCTGTGCGTGGGCCAAGGTGTCTTCAATCCCGGCGAACGTGCTACAACAAAATGTGTGTGTGGCAAGTGTAATGGGGGACGGGGCGGTGCGGAACGGTGTCCTTTGTTGCTGCCGTCGATTGCTGCAGTGTCAGCGCCGCACAATGCAGGAAAACAGCAGCGGCAACGTCGGCCACATTGGCGGCACAGCAGCAACACGGAACACGAGACACGTTAAGCGCATTGCCATTTGTGCCACATCATGGAGAATCGAGAAAGAAGCAGCTACACAGGGAGAAACGAGGAAAGGATGTGTAATGCCCCTCAGAGTTCCTTTCTGAATGTATAGATAACCTTTTGATGTGTGCTTTTTCGTCAGTGTAGGATGGGGCGTGACAGGTGGGCCACGGGTCGTGGGAATCCAGACAGTTGGCAAAGTTGTTCAATTCACTAAACAAAACAAGACAAACAAAAAAAAAGGGAGACAGAGACCGACCAAAAATCCAGCACAAAAAATGGACGGGCTGAAAGAAAAATGCTGCCTTTGTGCAGTCGAATGGCTTAAGCGGGATTTATCGGCACGGCTAACGGTGAATTCGATTGATTAGTCGATAAAGATGATCGATGATTTGGACACGACGGAACAAAAAAGAAAAAGAAGAAGAAGCTCGGCTATAAATTCTATACGTTTTTTGTTTCCTTTAACTCTTATTACTTAATTTATTATTATGATGAAGTTAGAGAAAAGCAAAAAACAAATAGGTGTTTTATAGCATGTTTCAAGGGAATTATTTATAGATTTACTCTGACTTTTAAGTTATTATTATTATTAATTTGAATAAGTTTCTCTCTTAGAAATAATCAAATCCTTAGTATATAAATAAATAACAAAACATTAAAGTCTTGCTGCAAACATTCCTTAAAGTCTCACTTAAAGCCTTTCCCCCCGATTCACGGATAATATTTAGCATTTATCGATTATGGTTATTAATCATTCTCTTTTCGGTTCGATTCAATTCGATTCACCTTTGTCGACTCATTCAATGAATCCTGAATCCTTTGGCTTAAGCTTGTTCAGCTTTCAGCTTGTTAAATGCATTGCTGGCAAATTGCATTCCCCATTTTCACCGGTTTTCATCATTTTCCCTCCTCTGCTCATAACCTGACAGGACACAGTTGCTGCTCCTGCTGCTGCTGCCGGGTGCAAGAGAGATGGATAGTTTCAGTCGCGTTGTAATTAACATTAATTTCGTATAAACTTTGGCACATTGCGTATACGCCGAGTGTGCCAGTGTGTGAGAGTGTATGTGTATGTATTGCCTTTTCAATTGTCTGTCACAAGCAGGAATATCATCATAAAACATACACAGAAAAGAAAATTGGGTGCTAACTTTATAATTATTTATAATGTGTAATAATAAGAATAGGTTTAATAAATATTTGTAAAAAATTACTTCAACCTTAAAACTAGTTTTAAATAAAATATAGCATACAAGAACTCAAAGGATTTTTTCCCAGTGTTAAGGCGCCTGCTGGGTGCTTCTTTGGATAGCTCTAGGATTGTCGCTGCACACAAATTAACTGCGAGCACAATTGTTTTACACATCGTTGTCTGAGTTGTCGTTGTTCTCAGGGAAATGGAAATGGAAATCTTTATGTTGCCACGGACTCATATGTGTGTATGTCTGTGCTTGCTTTATCGTGGCAACAACAATGGGTCCCCATCATTCCGCCATGTTGCCAGTTTATGGTCTTTATCCTGCAGATATATAACCCCTTTGGCAGTGTGTGTGTAAATAAGCTCAAGTTGCCTGAAAATTGCGTCAATTAACCTTTGGAAAATCCATTCGTTGTTTGTGTTTTCCCGCTAATTCGCTTACTAACCATCTCTCGTTTCCCTTCTTCTATTTTCAGGTGAGTTAATTGCAAATTGGCTAATTTGCCATTCGCCTATCACAGGATCACACTCCTCCTCTCTCTCTCTGTCTCTGCCTGTCAAATGTTGAAGGCTCAATTAAAGCATCGGGTAAGTGGCGGGTGTCCTGTCTTTAAGATGTCAGCAAAATCCTTGGGATACTGGAGCTTTTCCTGTCTCCCACCCCAATCCTTTCTGCGGTTGCTTGCATTGTCAACTGACAATTGCAGCTCAAAGGGAAAACAAGGAAAAGTAAAGGAGAATGCTGCATGAAAAGCCCAAAGGGGGGCGGCGAGAGACGAAGACTTTTCCTTGGCCAAACTAATAAGTAAAAGCCAAGCATAAAGGGAGAAAGCCATAAACAAATGACGCAGAGCAGTGAGTCAACGAAAGTTTGCGACAAAACTGTAAGGAATATGGTTAAAGATTCCCTTAATAGAAATCAAATCATTATTAAAACCATTAATTGAGAAAGGCCACCTGGTAAATGGGTTGATAAACCAGCATTAGTTGTTGGGATAGGTAGCTTAACAGCCATGAACCGCACTGCCTTTGTGGAGACAAAAAGCCAAAGCACTTTCCAGAGGGGAGTACAGAGTCCTAGACTGATCCTTCCGCCCCATCTGGCTGCATGGGAACTTGAGTTTTGTTTGTATTTTGCTTTTGTCTTGTATGCTGACACATTTTTCTTCCACATTTTTCTTTTTCCCCCCTACAGGGGAGTCCTGTGTATGTGATACCGGAAATTACAAATGCAACAAGATGTTGCAATGGTATTCTAGCAGCGGAATCTACTCTGTGAGCGGATTATATATCCGCTATCCATCTCTATTGGACATTCGATATCCTCTAAGCGTATTTAGGATTTACAAAACAAAAGGAATCCCATTTTTATTTGCTGCACAAATGTCTTAACATTGGAACGTAGTCAAAGGTTAGTTAGTTGAGGGTAATATCTCAAAGCCATCAAGATACTTGGCCAAAGGAATGGCCAAAGCAAAGAGTCCATAGCTCTTGATAAAGGTCCAGCAGAAACGATCGTTGTAGAGGATCGTCAGAAAGGCCATTGCCGTCTTAAACAGGCGCAGAGGACGCTTCCTAGGCTTCACCATAATGCCAGAAAAAACTATAGATGAAGAGAGACTGTGGCTTGAATAGTTCTTTATTCCGGAATAACTTTCTCTTACCTGGTTAGTTGAATCAAAAAAAAAAGAAAAAGAAAAACTGGTTTCGGAAATAAAACAAGTTATCGACTTGATTTTCGGAAAATTATAATTTTGTTAGAGCTCCGTCTGATAAACTGATTTTGTTAAAGGCAAGCCCCAAACTGATTATTTCAGTGAAACACACAAAGAGAATGCTTTTTCAAGGCTTGCTTGGTGAGCTAGTTTTGAAAATAAGTTTGATATTTGAACTACTATATTTTGTAAGTCTTAAAATTTGATGTTTTAGCTTGGTAAAAGTATAAAATCCCTTATTCCTTCTTTAAAATGCTCAATATTCCTGGAACAAATTTGAAGAGAAATTAAATTAAACTTTGCAATTTGATTTTGCAACTTTGTAACTCTCTTTTTTTGTATAATCTATAAACAAAGACTGACACTCGTCGGCGAGTTGGCTTAATTTAATTATTCTCAAACACAAATGTTGTGGCCACTCGCCCTTTTTTGAGTGTGTTTGCTTGGCCAAAAAAAAAATACTAGTAGTTGGGAATGAAAATTTTTCGCTTACGCCGCAAAGTATGCAACATGTTTGCCATGTGTTTGGGTGGTCGGGGAAAAATGGGTCTCCTTGCCACAGTGCTTGCTGTCCAGGTCGTTGGCAGCCATTAGCACAAATGTCGTCTGGCCAAAAGAGAGAGGGAGAGGGGGAGAGGGAGAAAGAGAGGGTGGTGGTGGTAACTGCATCAACAACTTTTAACCAACTTGCCAGCCCAGACTAACAAGACCGCAGAAACGGGCTGGGGGGCGGTCTCAAAAAAATAAAAATAAAAGGGGGGTGTGGCGGCAAACTAACTAACTCGATGCTCTCCGCCTGCCACTTGTAATGTAGCGTTTTTGTTGCAACAACAACGTGACCAAAAAGGGAGGCTGCTTTGTCCGCGAAAAGTAAGGTTTTTCACAACATTATTATTTTTTTTTTGTTGTGTTGTGTTGTAAGTTCAACTTCAGCTGCAGAGATTTTTCGGTCAGCGTTAATGCAGCGAAGTTAACCCTCTAAAACTAAGCCCCCCCTTAACCCGCAGAACGGTTTATGGCCAAAGTGTTGCAAGCACTGAGAGAAATCTCTGCAAGAACAAAATCAGCTAACAATAGAGCCTCAAACAATTCAAATGATCATAAAGAAATACTTCTTGTAGTATTAATTTTATGGGAAAAACTCGAGGAAAACTTTCTTGAATAAAGGTTAACAACCCCATAAATTTTCTTGACTTGAATTTTCCTTCGAGTGTATCCTCGCGGTCAGTTGCATTGTGGTCTGCTCATCTGTGTCCATGTCTGCCAAGTTTTGGGGCATCCTCTCACCCGTTTTACCCTCGACTAAATAGTTGAGAACTTTTGTTGTGTATGTAGTTGTAGTGTATATAGCCGGGGTCCTGTTGGATCCTTTTGATTCCTCCGACCCCTTGGACACTTTAAATTGCACACAAATTGGCAGAAATTATTGTTGTTGCTAGAGTTCTATTTTTGGTTGTTGCCTTTGACAAGTTTTTTTACTACTACTGCTGCTGCAAAAATAAAAATCTAAAAAAATGTAGAAGAAAACGCATTTTAATAAAACTAAGACAATAACTAGTCTGTGTCTCTCTCTCTCTGTTGTATTTTGTTTATATTTTTTCTCTTATTTTTGGTTGCTTTCCTCTAGAACTTCAGTTTTGAGTTTCTGGACAACTAAGTGCTGCTGCTGTGGTTTGATGTTGCCACAAAATAAGTGGCAATTGAACATTTGATTGCAGCTGCAGTTGGTCTGCTAGTTTCTGCCACCACAAGTTGTAAATAGATATATATCTGGTGGAGGTGTAATTATTGCAGCTGCCAGGTTAATGCCGCCTGGCATTCGGTTATAAATGTTGAACAAATTGTAATTTACTTTTCGCACAGTCCTTAACAATTAATCATACAATCGCAATCAATTTATGTTTATTTGTTTGTTGTTTTTTCATTCAACTAACCAATTAAATAATGTAATTTCAATTTGGTTTGACAGTGACAACAGCAGCGGAATGACCCTTAAATATAGGCTATTTTTTTTTGCGGGCCAATCCAATTAAATATTGTGGGTTTTTGGCAGAATATAAATATATCTTCTTGAACCCAAATTAATTGATTTACAATCTCCTGGGGCTTATGCCTTAAATGGTCATCGGAATCACCTCTTAAATGCCAGATGTATTTTACCATCACAAACGTGTATCGGTATCGCTTGGTAATTCTGGGTCATTTTGCCGAGCCACGTTCCCGGGGACAATAAAGGCAAGCCGTTGGTTGTCCCGTTGACCCCGCTTTCTGGCCAGGCCCACAACCGGGCTGCATGAATTACGAGGTTAATTAGAAGTTTGACACGAGGCATGGGGCACTTACAATATGTACACGGAATAAATACTATATACATATATGTGTGTGTGTATATATACACAGAGAGGAAAGGAGTTTGGTCCAGCAGCAGCAGCGGCAGGAGCAGGACCATAGCCAGGACCTGAAACTGAAACAGGAGCAGCTGTCGTTGCAGTTCGAGGCACGTACGAGGCACACGCGCTGCCACACACACACTGGCACGACCTGCATAAATAATGCAAAAGTGTAAAAAGGCACACACACCCAGAGTGTAAGAGAGAGAGAGAGAGAGTAGCATTTGCTTAGCTTTTTGCATGCAGCCGTTTTCAATATCAGCCTAGCGACTGGGAAAATGGAAAATGGTATGGGGAAAAGAGGGGAAAAGTGGCAGCAGACGCCCCACCATCCTGCCACACCCATTTCTGGCCAGCTTGCACTTGTTTATCATTTATTACTGCAGTTGGAAAATCTGTTTCAGCTCCTTCTACATTTCACATTGTTTGTCTTTTGTACATTGCCCTCGCTTCCCCACTCACTCTCTGTCTCTCTGTGTCATGTTTTCCTACAATTTTCCTAACGTTTTCCCTCAACATTTTTGCATCTTTCTTTTTTATTTATTTATATATATATTTCTTTTGCTGTAAATTTTCCATTTGCTGCCGACACTTTTGCTGGTTTTGCTGTTAAAATGTTTTAAATTGAAAGTGGCAAAAGGTATTTTCACGATAAAAATAGTAAATGTCATCAGTGGCATTTCGGTTGAGGGTAACGAAATTGTATTTATAAATGTTATTTATCTGTGTACACTATCGTATTTCTTTATTTACACTTTTCACAGATGAGGGATTTTTAAATAAATATGTGATTTTTGGTCTGAGCAAAGAGTTCTTGGGAATTCTTCAAACGAAAATGTAATTTTAGCAAAGGGGAAACTAGTTTTGGATAACTGAAATTTATATGAATTTTCAGTTGGAAGTGAATTATAGGATTGAATTAGGAATCATCATTTAGTTGAACAAATAAGCATTATTTCAATTGATATTTTTATATGACAATTTTACTGAAAAATCAAAGCTTAAAAAACTCATAACTTGGCCAAATAAGCATTAATTTCATTAGTTTTTATTTGTTAGTTAGTTTTTATTTGTTTAGCAAATCTGCTTACTAAATTTAACATTTTAAAAATATTGAAATTTTGGGAAATTTTTCACAATTTTAACAATGTAACCCTTAAAAAATATGCAACATTTTTTTTTCTGCCGGAGATGGCTAGATCAATTTGTCTGTTTATGCTGATCAATAATATATATGATTTATAGGGTCGGAAATGACTCCTTTATTGTTTTACAAGCTTCTAAATAAAGATAACTTTCTTATGTGAAGTCAACTTATTTTACTGAAATTATGAAATATTTAAAAATAAGTGCTTTCATAATGCATAAATTTCAATATATACATACAAGATGCATATAAATTTATTAATTCAATAAATATAAATCAAGGTTCAATCATTTTGTCAAAAAACAAATGCAGAAGGTTGCTTATACCGCCAATTTTGCTTCCTTCAAATCACCACCCTAAGCAAACAGTAAATATTATACATTTTTAATTAATAGATTCCCTTAAATTTATATTTTCCAATATATTATGTAAAAACTGAATCCTTTCTTTTTTTCATTAATTATAGCAAGTTCTTTTGTTCATTTATTCATTTCGATGCCGCTTTCATTCCACAAAACATGTCTGAAGAACTTTTTAATGACATTTCGAAATTTAATGTGAAGACAAGCAGAAGGTATTCTAACATATAATTTAATAAATTTATATACATATGTATATGTGCACATGCGTGTGCTGGTGCATTCGCAGCAATTTAATTTCATAACCAAAAGTGGAGGCACACAGATGCGGCAAACACACACACACACACCCAGACAATGAGTGGTGTGTGCACGTGTGCGAGTGTCTGTACACCTCGTTCTTGTTCGGCTGATAAAGTTCATTTACCTTTCAGCGTTTATCTAAATGTCGTCTCTCTCTCTCTTTCTCCCTGACTTGTGCCATCTCCCTCTTGCAGTGGCAAAAGTGTAATTGTCTATCTTATGCTTTACATTTGCACACAGATACACAAGTACACTGTAATTATATTTTAAGCAAAGAAATACTTGGGAAGAAGTTATTAATTAAATTTTTAATAGGAAAATATTAGAGATTTAAATAATTAGGAAATAATTAAAGGAAGATTTATTTATATATATATTTTTGTATATATTTAAAAAAAGAAAAATTGGAGTCTAAAAAAATCTACATTTGCTTTTTAATTATGAATAATAAAATTGGTTTGTTCTTCAAGAATCGTTTGCATATATTTTTGAAAGGAATAAAATATTTAGTTATATTTTCTTATTTATTTTATAGGTTTTTATTTTTTATTTCTCCTCTCATTTATTTCAGTGTAAAATTGCAATCGCTAACTCTGTTTGTTTGTTTGCATTTGCCGCTGCTTGAGTTGAGAAATACTCGTCTGGCAGACTGCCTCAATCCATTTCTCTCTGTGTGCCCCTAGCTGTGTGTGTTTGTGTGTGCCTCTCTCTGTGTGTGTGTGTGTGTGTGCACTTGAGTGTGTGCTTGAGTGTGTGACATTAGTGCAGCGGGTCATGCCATCGTCTTCCTCTTGTTCGGCTTCTGCAGCTGCCATTTTCGCGCAATTTGAACTTGGTTTTTATGGGCAAACCGAAGCCAAAGTCAAAACAAAGTGGAAAGCAAAAAAAAAAACAACAAAA